AGTGCAGCTCGCAGAGAATAGGTGTAACGTGGGTGCACCCTGGTGCACCCACAATCGCTCGCGCGGCTGCATTCTGGACTAATTGGAGTCTTCGAACACTCTTCAAGGGCAGCCCCATGTAGAGCGCATTACAATACCCTCTTCTTTATGGCAGCCCCATTTGAGGGGCTGCCATAAAGAAGAGGGTGTCAACCTATTTTCCAAAGCACCAGAAGGCAAGAGAAGAAGCAATAGATGGAAACTATCCAAGAAGAGAAGCAACCTAGAAATAAGGAGAAATTTCCTGACAGTGAGAAACAATAAACCAGTGAAATGGCTTGCCTTTAGAACTTGTGGGTTGTCCATCACTGGAGGCTTTTAAAAAGAGACTGGACAGTCATTTGTCTGAAATGGTCTCTTGCTTGAGCAGAGAGTTGGACTAGAAGACCTGCAAAGTCCCTTCCAACTCTGTCATTCTGTTATAAATGTCTTATACAATTAACTCATTAACAATTAAGTCAATTTATTTCACATTTTACATATAACTATACAGTATATACATTATCTTCACACAAGATTCATTTCAATATGCTCTTTGAAATACACAATGTGATCTTGCTCCATTGATGGAGAATTAAGATGCTTTCCACATTGTACTTCAAAATCTATCTCCTTTGTCAACCTGTTAAAATACAGTTATTTGAGTATATAAACTGCAACAACAGACTCATAAAATAAAACAAGTATGTGAAAAAAAACTTCTAAAATGGTGCATGATCACATCATGAGAAGTACAGTTGCATCCTTTCTTTACAGACAGTTGAGTAGCTTTGGGTCAATCACTTGCATATGTCTGGTTTGACCCTGAGTAATGCAAGAAAAGAAGATGGAGTCTTGACACCTGGGACCAGATAGTGCCTGCCAGATAAATACATTGGCAGTTTGAAGGTTTTCACTGATTCATTGGTTTCACAGACGATTCAGGTACTTCTGTAGCAGAAAGTACCTCCTAATAGCTTAGAGCAGGGGTGTCAAACTCACAGCCTGTGGGCTGGATGCATCACGCACTGACCACGCCTGGTTTAGTGAGGGAGGAAAGGTCACGATATGTTACCTGATGACACCGTGACAATGAGAGTTTGACACCACTGGCTTACAGGGAGGAATGTGAGATATTCGGCCTTGGTGAAACAGCTGCCAACAAGTTTCTCCTGCTGCTGATGGTACTGCTTGGTCCAGTGCAACTAGCTACTATCCTATCCAGTCCTAACTGCTGGACAACTCTTTGTGTTTGTGTTATACCAGTATTACGTATAAGTCTATCATAAGGTAGGACAAAAAGAAAGTGGGGAAAGACGCTGCATTTCAAAACTGTAAACTTTCCAATTACCAAGAATATATTCTGCCTTATTCCATAATATCAAGCCATGATTTGAGTTAAGACTTTGTGTAGACCTATGCAAGTCTATACTTTGCCACAAGAGGGGTGAAAGTTAAACCACAAAAGGTAATTTTTACATTGCCCATAATGTACTGTTGCATTTGTGAGAAAGATGTTGAAATTACATGGGAAAGAAAGGTACATCATCCTAAGTATCGGTAGCTTCTTTTTCTGTGACTCCTTATACCTACTCAATTTTTATAGTGTGGGTGCTAGTTATTATGTATTATGACTTAGACTGGAAAAATTAGATTCACACTCCCATTTCATACAAGCAATACATAAATAGAGGTCCTCTTCATATTGCAGATGGGACTGTGTGAAGAAAGGTTTTGATAAGCCTTTTGCATGATGTTCTGGTTTCTATGTACAATAGATTTCTAAAAATTGTAGTTACTGTGCTTGTAGGACCATTGTATATAAGTTCTATGAATATTTCCTAAACAAATATACCATCAAATAGAGTATGAAAAGAATAAACATGACAACCACATAATCTATAGTTATAAAAGCGAAAACCATTCATACCGTGATCACAATATCTCCAGAACCATAAAGCCTACAAACTTGAAATTTGGCTTCTAGGTGCTCGCTAAGAAAGAAATTTTTGAAGTGGTCATCAGATCATTAGTATTTCTTATATTATTATTAACACACTCTGATGCTAAGGAGTTAGATATTCTACTCCCCTCTCAACCTGAAAATAACTCTGTTCCAACTGCCACTTGGGCATGGCCAACATGTGACTCATCCGGCCTGTGCACTGGGAGTTTGGGGAGGAGCCTGAGGGAGAGAAGGGGATAGGCTAGGGGAGGATTCTGTGGGGCAAGCCTGAGGGAGAGAAGCGGAGAGGAGAGGTTTATTGTAACTACTCGTTAATTTTCAAGCTGTAAGTGTTCATTTATCAAGCCCAAAAACATAGTTTCATAGTGGACCACGGGTATTCAGCTAGTACAATATAAAATGAGAGTTTCAGACTAAAATTTAAAAAATCCATATTATCCATATATGTAATTATTTTCCATGGAAGTTAGGAAAATAATTACAATTACATTCCTTATTATGACAAAACTTTATCAGGCCAACTTAGGTCTCAGCTAAACTTATAATACTAGTTTTGTTGAAGTGGTTACATAATAATTCACCAGTAAAACTATTTTTATCTGATTGTTCTAATTTTCTCTACTTTTATCTAGTTTGTATTTCAACATGCTGGATAATAGAACATACGGTATGTGCCCTACTCAATCCCCAGAGTACTATTTTTATCACCTGAAACAAACATGTGAATTTCATGGTGCTGCATTTCAACACTTATGATAGACATGTAGTATCTATCACTACATCATCTAGTGAGGAAAGTGCTGGATAACCAATTCATGCGTGGAAATGGCAAAGCAACTCATAAAGAGGAAAGGTGGAAAAATTGCTTCAGGTACAGCCTTGATTTCATCATTATCAGGAGAATTAAAGCCAGTGCTAGCGTGTACAGTATTCATATTTAGAAGTAAGCACCACTGAAGTTACTTGAATCTATTTTTAGTAGATATTTATAAAATGCAATGTTGCTGCTGAAGGAAAACAAATCCTCAGTGAAATAAAATAAACTGAAGAAAAGAAAAAGAAAATATACACCTCAAAATAATTAACCTGTCAAAACGGCCTGATTCTTCCTAGATCATAAAACATGGCATCCTTGTGGAAATCCAGTAAATCTACAGAAAAATACACCTAAAGCAAATATTTAAAATACATAAATATCTTCGTGCAGAACAAGCCTATCATTATGAAGTTAAAAATAAAGTGGGAAACATGTTAAAATTAGTAAACGGAGCAAAATTCTTTTCCTGATGGAAAGTAATTAGGATGAATTTGTGGTGTTGTAAATAAACGTACATCTACTAGGCACATAAGCCTAGTATAACAAACAAACAAATGCACTTAATGACTCTGGGGTGCCATAAGCCATAACTCATAAAAAACAGGTTAGCTTTGAATGAAACAGCTCAGTTCAGGGAATTTTCACCTGAAGTTTATGAATCAGTTTTGAATTAAATAAGTTTCTTGGTTAGGTAAATCTTGAATGAAGGCAAATACTTCTGTTGTCTCGTTTTAAAATGCTTCTGATTGGCTAATAAAGTTCATTTCTGATTTTAAAAATATTAAAACTTTATATGAATGCAAGGCCTGGTAAATGCTGAACTTATAAATGTCCTTGATCTAATAATTTCTTATTCTAGTATTAACTTGCCCATTCCAGTGTATCTAAAGATGATTTTTGATAAGTATTTATAGCAGCTCCAAATATTTATAGCACCTTTCTCAATTATGACACCTAGAATCTACAGCCTTGTGGATTCTTGGAGTTGTCGTTATGGCCAGATGACACCAGATTGGAGATATTGAGTATATACTTGATATGGAAACAAACCTATGAAAACAATAGGTCTCCACTTTAATGTATGTGACTTCAGATACTAGCTAGTACTCTAATTGGGCAAGAAAATTCAAGAATTGGTTAAAAGGGAGAGCAAAATGCTCTGAAATGATTCCTTCAGATATTTATAATTATTAATCTCCCACTTTTACTGCACTTTGTACAATTGAATGTAGTGCACATAATGTTCCCTCCTACCATTTTCCCCACAATAACCACAATTTTTAATCAAATTTATGAGCAAACTGTGTTTATTCCTTGCGATAAGCCATTTTAATTGTGGCTTATTAAATTATTAAATTAACTGTTCTAGCACATGCTACTAAAAAGAAACAAACCATCTTATGGTTTGCTCAAACTATCTATGAAAGTAGAAACCAGCTTTTCAGTAATATATAGCAAGATTATAAATTTATAATAAATCAAATAAGATTTAACAATTATTTTTGTAGTATTTTGGTATTGACTTAATCATCTGTATCACTTGTGTACATAATTTTCTTTACTAACTTCCAAAATGTATATGCCAGATGGGATATTTTGTACACACAGACACAGACACACAAACATATACATTTATATTTGTGTGTGTGTAAAATGTATTGCAATTGACAACTTTCCTCGGTTATAGAAAGCATTCTGCAGGAAATGATCCTTAATTCCAGGTCAAATTTTGTGGAAACTGAAAGGCTGTTGCTGAGGAATTATTCTGCCTTGGCAGGACTTCCTACAGGTACTGAAATTTGGGTAATGAGCTTTCCATATGAAATTTTTGGATTGCATTCCACATTCCCATGCATTGCATCTTGGGGTCACTAGCACAGATATGGAGAAAATCAGTATATGAGATATGTGGAATTTTTCTGATTTTTCAATGATACGTCACCAATACTTAAGACAATGACTTACAAAAACTGTAGTTTTGTCTTTTTTCCTTCTGAAATACCTATTAAACTAGTTACAGAAATCTGCTTTCATCACTCAATCATGAAACAATAATATTTATTGTTTACTTTTACAATAAAATCATTACACTCATGTAAAAAATAACATCAAAACCTATCTTAACATGATAAATCTCTGATAACACATTGTGATTTACGAGGAATTCATCTACTACAGTAAAATAATGCATTGTAGATATTTCTTTTCATTTTATAATTGTTTGAGAAAAAGTATTTTTCACCATTAGAAACTGTGATTCTCTGTGGGATCTTTTCAGTTTTGCTCTGCGGTTCTGGAACCAGATCTAAAATTGAGAGAAAAAAGTAGATGTTTAATAATAATACAGTACTGTAAAAAGTTGTTTTTGGTAAATAAGGTTAAAAATATAATATTAATAAAATTCCAGCAGGTAAAAATATAAGAAGCTGCTTATAAAGAATAAAGAACTTTTCTGCTTGAGTGAGACGTGATCCTATTAACTCATATAGAAGAACTTTCCCAGCCTTACTCTAATCTAAGACATCAGAAGGGAACCAACTTCTGTATATCAGTAGAAGCATGTTCCATCAGAATTATAACTTTCTTCTCATTTCAAATTAAAGTGAATTTTTGCAGTAAAACATGAGAAGCAACACTTCTTCAGGAAAACTCAATGAGGGAGATGGATGGTTTCAAAAGATGATTGATAAACAAACACAAGACAGTTATTGCTATCTAGCTTCAAGAGATCAAACATTGATTTCAATGAAGTGCAAAGCTTGTAGGTAAAATTCTATCCAGACATCTAAGAATCACCAGTGCAGGAAGCACTCTCTCTCTCTCTATTGCCAACAATGTTGTATTTATGTATAAAAACAATCCCTTATGTTCACTAAGTTAAATAAAACATAAAATCAGTTAATTTTGAATGCAGACAAATCAAAAAGGTAATCTGTAATTGGGTTAAGATTATATAATCTGTTTAAAATTAAACCATTGGCTAGCATTCTAAATAGGTAAGTGTCTGTTCTAATTATTCTTGTTGCTGTTATTATTACCACCTTCTGATCAAAATGTATTCCCAGAGGTTACATGGACATCCAAGCATTTTAAAAGTTTGCACTTAGGAAAGCAATCTTTGCATATTTACTCAGATATGTCCCATTCTTCTTCCATTCAATTGTGTCCAGTTCTTGTATGCTACCTGGACAAGTACCTGCAATTTTCTTGGCAAGATTTTTCAGAAGTGATTTTTTCAAAATTGATTTACCAGTAAATCTAACCGTGTTAGAAAAAGTGTGAATCTAAAAACCAGATGAAGTGATGTCCTTTAGGTCAGGGGCATCCAACCTTGGCAACTTGAAGCCTTGTAGACTTCAACTTTTAGAATTCCCCAATCACTATGATTATCTGGGGAATTCTGGCAGCTGAAGTCCACAGATCTTAAAAGTTGCCAAGGTTGGACCCCCTGCTTTAGGCTTTAGTTCTAAACACATTTAAAGGCAAAGATACTTTTGAATCAAACTTGACTGCTAATGACTTCCCTGCAATTGAGCACATCCCTGCAAGTGAGCACATCCCTGCAATTTTCTTGCTATCTGTGTGGTCCCTAGGAGTAAAAAAAACCCACTTGATGGAATACCATAAATCAACAAGAAAGCAGTTTGACCTGCCCTTTTTCTAGGATCCTTCTTTAAACCACCCCCCACCCACCCTTAGCCCTTAGGGCTTTCTCGCCACATACCAACTGACACTTAGCCTCTTGGGTCTGGTAAATGCTGCCATCTGCTATAGTGGCAAATATAGTTATTTAAGTATAAATCCCACTCAGTGTTCTAGGCTTCATATATTGCATGAAGCCATAGTGTACTTAGCTTATTTGTGGTTTAATGTGTTACTTAGAAGAAATCATTGTGGTTTGTTTAGCACATGTGTTATTGTGATATATGAACCAAATCTTTCAGAAAAATACATGATTTATTCAACCTACTCAGTTTGAATTAAGTTGGATATGAATCCTACTTATTTGGTCTTAGCAACAGACATTTTTTCTGGTATATATTAAAATGTATTACCTTATTATCCAGGTATTACTGTATTGCAAACATAAGTAGAATTAGAAGGTAAAATTGGAAAAAAAAATCCCCCATTTTTTCTTTCATGCAACATTTCAAAGTGAACTAATACTGTTATCTTCTTCAGTCAAGGCCAGAATATTGGCAGTTATTATTATTATTCCCATCCATTATGACTCCTGCTAAGCAAACATAAGATTTGAGATTCCAATAATGCAAGCATAAAAAGTTACCTGGATCCTGTCTTCATCTAAATCTAATTTTTGAGCCAGCTCTTCTCTAACATCAATTCCAGGGTAAGAGTTCACTCTAAAAACATTTTCCAGTATTTCTATCTAAAGAGAATAGACAAAGACTCTGTTATCTGTTTGTTTTCACTGCCAGAATATTTTAAACATTCATGATAGAGCCATAGGGTAAGATTCTAAAATATTTCAAGTCGATAAAAATCATTTAAACTCTTTTGAGCTCAGAATGCTGATTAGATATAACATTTGGGAAACGTTTTCTTCAGTAAATGTATGATTGTACAAATTCTTGTGAAACAGGCATTTCTGGATTCTTTCTAATCAATGCCCCTTATTAAAGAATGCAGGGAGCACAACAGCCATTCTTAGCTGCATGAATAGGTTAAATGGGCTAAATCCCTACCTGGATTTGAGTGAATGCAGTCCTTGGCCTCCTACCTCTGTACCAACTCAAGTCCCTTTTGTAAGAAAATCTTTCATTGACTGCGAAATAGTTTTCACATTTCAAAACTCTTTCTTCAGCTTTTCGGCAGTTGCTTGTATTATACAAAGGGAGTGCACAGCATATTGAAGAGAGATGTAGGCAGGGCAAACAATCTTCTCCTGAAAAGTCACAAGCATTTCAAACATGATTACTAGCAAAATGTAATAGAGTAGTTTAAACTCAGAGGCAGATCTGAAACACAACAATCTGATTTTCTTTACAATTTGACTCTTAAACTTGGTTTATAACTTAAAGCAAAGGAACATAGTGAAAAGGTGAAGAAAACATTGAAATGAATCTTAACTTCCATCTTACCTAAATCACTGCATTTTTCCACCCATGGCCTGTGGGGTTTTGCAGCTGGAGTGCCATCTTTTTCCTGCTCTAATCCCAAAATATTTTCAATGGAAAATGAAAAGGAAGTGTTTTTGCCTTCCCCAAGACTGGATTTATTCTGATTATTATAAGACGAAGCCGCATTATGAGCATACAAGGATCTGCCTGCCATTCTTTTGCCAGCCTCCCCACACCATAATTCAGCTTTTACTTACAGGTCTTTTCTTATAGCTTTGGCAACAAGGGGGTTGGATTTGCCACGTCATTAATTAAAATCTTTTATTAGAAAGTTTTAGCATGTCAATGAAGATTCTCCCACCAAGAGGCAAGAGGAGTTAATTGTTTATTTGTTTCCAAGTAATTAGCAACTAATGGAGGAGGGAGTGCACCAAGAAGAACAAAAAGTGTTATCTCCTGTAACCAGAGTATCAGACTTAACTTTTTCAAAAGCACCAATGCACAAGTATAACACTTCTCTTTTATTTGAAATCATTAATGTATAAAATCAGGGCTTGGTTGGTGGCAGTTTTGTTTTTAAATAATACTCCTGTGGACTTCATTTACCTAAACAAAACAGCATGATAGGAAACCAGTCAAGTAATAAGTAATCTCATTTAAGTGCATTTTCTTCCAATGAAAATTTAAAAATAATCTCTTAATGCTATTAGGGTAATCCTGAAGAAAAAGTGTTTGCTTTTTCATATGCATACGTAATGATGAACATGGTCACTAAGATGACAATAGTCTTTGGCATAAGGCACACTGCAATGGGCTGTCAGAATTCAGTAATTGTCTTCCAAGTGGTTAGATTATAGAACACTTGAATGAAATACTGTTAAAAGGTCTGCTCCTCTATTTTCTTAGCTTAGAATTTAATTTGATGCCATTTTGTTTGTTTATTTGTTCATCAAATTTGGATGCCACCCAACTTGCCAAAGGTAGTGTTATGTTGGCATTCTCAGAGGAATTCATCAAATACAGTATGCAGTTTTTAAAAAGCCAGATCATAACCTGTTTTATTGATGCTCAGTGAGATGAAAGATGGTTATTTTCATCCTAATGTGCAATATATTGTTATGGCAAATGAAATTTATAAAAGGCCAGTTAAAAGCAGAGCTAGTGAATTTCACCAATAACTTTATTTATTTATGAAAATGTATATGGCCACTAAAATAACTCTATGACTTCAGGGTGGCTCAGAAAGATAAGAGCAAAGATATTTGCTCTGTTTATCCCGGGGTTATTTTATTTTTCCATTCTTTTCCATGTTTGCTGGAAAAGGTCTGGTCTAGATTTAAGATGAAAGCTGGATTCAGCCATTGTACTTTACAAGTCATAGTCTATGATGCAGCATCCAGACTTCCCCATAACAATTTGCTGAATTCCAAGCTGATGTGTAACAGTTTTGTGACAGTGATAAGGCAGCAAGCTAATTTAGGAGAATAAGGTTAGGTTTTGTCCTTCAGCAGAGAACAACCCAAATTAAAGAAGGTTACAACTTCATGAGCTTCAGCAACAGAAAATTCATGGACAGCCTGCAAGTGCCTATATCCATGATGGCAAACCTGTGGCACGCAGCAACATCTCTGTGGGCACGTGAGCCGTTGCCCCAGTTCAGCTCCACCGTGCATGTGTGCATGCATCCCGCCAGCCAGCTAGTCGTTGGGTCTCTGCTGCGCATGTGTGGGGTGCATGCAGGGGTCTGCGTGCATGTGGGGGCGTATGTGGGAGCACATATGCATGCACACGGGGGACTGCACATGCTTGTGCAGGGGTAGGGTGCATGCAGGGAGAACATGTGTAATGCACAGGGCACATGCACAGGAGGAATGTGCACATTGCATTTTGGGGGTTTGGGCGTGTGTGCTTTGGGCACTCGGTCCGGAAAAGGTTAGCCATCACTGGCCTATATGAAGAGAAGGTGTTCCACAAGGTAGGATCAGCCTTGGAAAAGGCATACCTCCTACATTCTGCTAGATGGCAGATTTCAGGGAAGAGACTGAAAGTATGCCTATCCTATGTGATCTGGTGTGATGGGGGCAGATGCTCTCAGGGAAAAACCATCTTGCAAATAACCTGGTCCCATTCCATTTAGGGCTTTAAATGTGGCAACTAGCATCTTGAATTGGACCTAAAAGGAAACTGAGAACTAGTGCAACTTATGAAACTGGTGAAGCTGGGACCTCCCAACACTGCATGTACCACTGCATTCTGGACCAGTTGTAGCTTGTGGACAGTCTTCAAAGGCAGTCCGATGGAGAGTGCATTCCAGTAGTTTAAATGGGAACTGACCAGGGCATGAATGACTGAATATTTTGAGGTACACATCAAATATTGCAAGAACTCTGGAATAAAGACTTGCTGGGAGTTTTTTCCAAAACTTTAAAGTATGCTTTTTCATTCTTAAGAAGATTCAACAGTCAAATACCACTTTTTTCCTGTTTACTGGACATTTCAAATAATGTTTAGAAAGAGTTGGCTGTCAGTTTCTTTAAACTGAAAATATAATATGAAAAGGACATTACGACATGGAATTTAATATTCATAGGTTTATAAATATGTTTTTTTGAAAAGAGTAATAACATTGAAAGATGTGAATGCAATTTTGAACTGTTACACCAAATATTTGGAACTCATCAGTATGAAGAGATGGATTTCCAAGTACGTAGCATAACAAAAATTATTTTTCTTTCATGACCGGACAGTTGCATCATTCCAGATTTGCAATCTTTGATATGTTTAATGTTTTACTTTTGAAACATAGACAAAAATGGAAAAACTGAACCAAAAGTTTGCTCTGTAGTCAAATGTAATGTACATTATTTAAAAACAGCTGTTTATTATAATGTTTTACCTTTTTGTTTTTCCCCCATTTGTTTTTTTTTTAGTTTAGTATGTTAAAGCTGTATATTAAAAACTGAAAAGACAATTAATGTTGATTCTTTTTAAGCATATTGGATAATTGTCAATTTTCTATCCTTCTATCAAGAAACAACTGAGAAGTAAACTCAGCTTTAAAACAGTAGTATAACTAATTTCCTGCTACCAGCATGTGCTATTGGGTCTTAGCAAGTTATGGTGTACTAAAAGTACACAATTCACATACGCTGATCACTGTTAGATCTATGAGGAATATTGCACATATATTTATCAGATTATCCCCTGTAAAGGCTTATCCTAAGCATTTGACAAATACACTTATTTATTCTTTATCAATTTTTGTTCCTGGGTTGCCTAATTTTTATTTACTCCACATTCACATTGGTTCTTATCAGTGTTGTGTGGAATATTTGACGTGTCTGTGTGTGTGAGAGAGAGAGAGGGAGAGAGAGAGAGGGAGAGAGAGAGAGAGAGAGAGAGAGAGAGAACACGTGTGTATTGATGAATCTGAAATCTACAGTGGTACCTGGAAGCAGGCAATATTCTTGGTAAAACCATTTTGTTTCAAAGGGCAATCCTCAAATGTATTGTTAGAAATGTTGTAAGAAGCAAAATAAATATTGCAAAAATAAAATGGTTGTTTTATTTTTCATTATGTCTTTATTTACAAACAAATAATTACTATATTTTGTTGAAACAATATATTCAACTGCGGTACAACTCTGTAATGTTGCCACCTAGCGTCCATGAACTCCTATTTTACAGCAAATAAAGTCTTCCTTAATTACCTTGAAAGAACTTAATTGTTACTAGCCAAAAAGATGAATGTTTAAAAAAATCAGTAAAACGGTCAATGTTGTATTAGTTAATGGTTTAGTTGATAATTGTATGCCTTGCAAATGGATTACATATAGAAGGGGAAAAGGGGAAATAAATTTTCTATAAAACAAGAGTGGAAACTTTTTTTGTCAACATTTCCCAGATATTGGCCAGAGATCAAGTTATTTTACTATTCCCCATCACATTTTCTCAGTCTGCCAAGCCAGATGCTGAGAAGTGATACTTTCACTGGAAGTTCAACCACATCTATAAAGGAGTTTTGAAGTAATGTTGAAGACCACATGACATTCTCCCTCCCCATTCGCCAATTTTCCATTCTCATGCTTCACCTCCAGAACATCTAAGAGAAGTTGTGGACTTGGAAAAGGAATGCTTGTTGGTCATGAGGGAGCTCTGTTCTGAAGGCTCTGCCTGAGAGGAAAGGAATAGTTACAGGAACTGAATTAGACATACACATTCATACCCTTCTTTGAGTTGTTGCTGTACAAATATTTTCTTACCATTACAATAAGTATGGGCCATGAGCATCTAGCATGGCAGACAAAAATCAAACTAAACTTATTGATTGCAATTCTTTTTATTATTCAAGCCAAGATGCTGTACTAGCAATGCATATTTGCTTTATTCTGAGACTGGAATATTCAAATCAGTGGGGTCTAGAATAACTAATGGGTGGCTGAGTAGAGTTTAACACCCTCCTGCTCATATTTCCATGGTCCACCAGTAGTTTAGGAATTTAAATCTGATCTGTAAAAATGCCAGATAGATATGTATTAAGAATAATTGCAAATAGTAGATTTTGTGCTTGGAATGTATTTTATTTCTTCTCTTTTCCTCACATTTTAAAAAGAAAGGTTAGATCATTGCCAGTATAGTAAAATACTTGGCAATCTAGCTATCTTGGTATATTTAAACAGAGAAAAAGTAGAATACAAAAAAATGTATAAAGACATACTAAATACATCTTGGTTAATAATTTATTTTTTAAATGGCTTATCTTTGCAAGTTACTTCATATGATCTATAATAAATATTTGATACTGATGTCATTTTTAGTCTTATGACTTTGGTTCGCCTATATTATAAAACAATATTTTCTTAAAGTATTTGATGCATTTTATTTTTTAAAAGGGTAATAATTGCCATTCGGCTGTTATTAATTTAGATAAATCACCATATATGCGGATAAATACAATGTCTTTATCATCTGGTTTCATTTCTAATTCTGAAGCTTGACATTTTTGTGAAACTAGTATTTGAACAGAATCATATAAAAGTAACTCAAGAAGTCTGCTTCATTAAAACAGGTGTTTATAAAATGATAGACTGTAGAGTATGTTAAGCTCTACAGCATATTAAGCTGAACAGCTCAATTACTGCACAAATATACATACTACCATCCCTCTCCCACTGTGTGCTGTTCTCTAAACAAAGTTTATGGCTTATCTCATTGTCTGACCCTGATGTGTCCATTTGAGGTTTCCAGAAATTTAGGATATTGTCAGGCACAAGCAACTGGATCCACACATCAAAGAGTTCAAGTTAAGTATTTTATTGTATTCTGCCTATACTACAAGAATCTCCCCAGACTGCTTTCCCTTCCTTGAGAACAAAGAGATAAAGTTCTATGGAACTTGGGCATGATGGGTGGGTTGTCATAGGTCTCTTGCAGTTGCCACAGGCTCAAGGCTAACTCCTCACTTGATCCCACTCCCTTGCCTGGCTGGCAGTTTCCAACAGAGATGTACCCTAAATTTATCATCAGTTATAAGTCTATTTCCATAAATCCAAAATGTCAACCCCTTCAGGTTTGAAAAATGCAATAAGCAATAAACTTGGATTAAACAGTGCACAATTGATAATGAATTGGAAGGAGAGATAATTATTTTTATTATTTATTTCCCCCTGCCTTTATTATATTTATTCAAGGCACCAAACATACCTAATACTCATTCCTCCTATTTTTCCAATATCAATAACCCTGCGAGGTGAGTTGGGCAGAGAGACAACAACTGATCCAAAGTCACCCAACTGGCTTTCATGACTTAATGCAGGCCTAGATCTCAGCCTCACAGTTTCAAGCCTGGTATTTTAATCACTGGGCCAAACTGGTTCTCATTAATGTGCTCATTAACCAACCATTTTAGAGACTTCCCTGATTAACAGGGAAGCAATAAGGCGGAATAAGGCTGACATAAACTACAAATCTGCTTCTTGATGAGAGATTTAGTCTTGGCTGCTATGCATTTTAATGTTTGTATTATTGTAATTACTTTCATTTTTTAAATTTTGTTCCTCATCCAGAGTTGTTTGGTGAGGTGGGCAGCCATACAAATAAAGATAAGATAAAGTAAAAAATAAATCAACCCTAAAGTCAACCCTAATGTAAGAGAGGACAAAGAATATTACAAAGAAAGTAGACACCACAGTTTAAATAGTAATAACAGTAGAAAAAGTTTGATTTTGCTGCTGTTGCCTAATCTATCCATCACCAAAATCACTGAAAAGCTGCCAGCTATTAACTTATGTTGTGTCCCTTTCACACAACCTAATACCCAAAGAATATGATAAGCATATCTACTGGGAGGTAGTCATCTGGGACATTTTAAGAGCAACAGTTACATCTAAGACAAATAAAGTGGACATTTCCATAATTCCTTCATAAGTCTTTGTTGCCTTAAAAAAATCTGCCTATAGTTGGGACATAGTTGCAAAGGCCCAAATATCACTGCAGAGGGTCAGTAAGCAAATTGAGAATGAGGTATGGCTTTTCCCCCCCAGAACCAATTCAACCCCGGGGGGGGGGGGAATTAACAAGCATGGAAAACTCAAGCGGGGATTCAGATTATTTCTGAAGAAGTAAATTAATATCCACTTAAGTATTCTCACTCGGCAGTCCTGGAATTGCCACTTGCTCTAAATCGGGTTACTAAGCCCTTGTCAATCAGCCCTAAATGAGCTCATTGCCATCTTAATATTTATGAGATCCAATTCCCACTCTACAATTTTAGATGAATCATGGCACCATGACAACACGGCACAATAGGGATGACCCGCACAGAAACGGAGATCAGGGTACAGTGCCACCTGGAGCATATGCGGGCGCAAAAGCCTTTGCCCCACAGAAACTGCCCCCCGACGGGGCGAAAGCCCCACAAGTGACACCCTCCCCTCAATCTCCGCCTCCCCCGTCACCAGAACCCCGCGGGGCCGAAAAAACACTCTCCTCTTTTTTTTTCGCCCAGCCAGACTGGCCGCCCTTCCAGCCAATAGGAAAGCGCACAGCCTCGCTGACGGCCGCTCCTTGTCCGGACGGGCGGCCGCGGGGAAGCGGCGAGGCGGGATTTCCTGAGCGGAGCGGGCCTGTCGGGGTGCGCGGAGGCGCGGGGGAAGGCGGGAACAGGGCCGTCGGGCTGGGTGCGGCGAGGAGGGGGGGTTGGCCTGGCCTGGGAAGATTCAGCCGCCGACATGCCTGGAATAGACAAGCTGCCTATCGAGGAGGCGCTGGAAGACAGTCCTCAGGTGAGGAAGGGGACCCCGCGCAGTAGCAGGGGGCGGAGGAGGGAGAGGATTGGCCGAGCCGGGCTCCTTCTGCCCCCTTTCCAGACCTGGGAAGGTAGCTCGCTTCGCCCCGCCGCGGTTCGGAGGCCGTAAACAGCCTGTTGCCGCCGTGATCGCTCCCCGGGAGAGGCGAGAAGGGCTCAAACCACCCGGCGAGGGGAGAAGATGCCTCTTTCCCGGGGGTCCCTCCGAGGGGGAGGTCAGGGCTCCGCTTTAAAGCCGGCAGGNCTCTCCCACTGTGTGCTGTTCTCTAAACAAAGTTTATGGCTTATCTCATTGTCTGACCCTGATGTGTCCATTTGAGGTTTCCAGAAATTTAGGATATTGTCAGGCACAAGCAACTGGATCCACACATCAAAGAGTTCAAGTTAAGTATTTTATTGTATTCTGCCTATACTACAAGAATCTCCCCAGACTGCTTTCCCTTCCTTGAGAACAAAGAGATAAAGTTCTATGGAACTTGGGCATGATGGGTGGGTTGTCATAGGTCTCTTGCAGTTGCCACAGGCTCAAGGCTAACTCCTCACTTGATCCCACTCCCTTGCCTGGCTGGCAGTTTCCAACAGAGATGTACCCTAAATTTATCATCAGTTATAAGTCTATTTCCATAAATCCAAAATGTCAACCCCTTCAGGTTTGAAAAATGCAATAAGCAATAAACTTGGATTAAACAGTGCACAATTGATAATGAATTGGAAGGAGAGATAATTATTTTTATTATTTATTTCCCCCTGCCTTTATTATATTTATTCAAGGCACCAAACATACCTAATACTCATTCCTCCTATTTTTCCAATATCAATAACCCTGCGAGGTGAGTTGGGCAGAGAGACAACAACTGATCCAAAGTCACCCAACTGGCTTTCATGACTTAATGCAGGCCTAGATCTCAGCCTCACAGTTTCAAGCCTGGTATTTTAATCACTGGGCCAAACTGGTTCTCATTAATGTGCTCATTAACCAACCATTTTAGAGACTTCCCTGATTAACAGGGAAGCAATAAGGCGGAATAAGGCTGACATAAACTACAAATCTGCTTCTTGATGAGAGATTTAGTCTTGGCTGCTATGCATTTTAATGTTTGTATTATTGTAATTACTTTCATTTTTTAAATTTTGTTCCTCATCCAGAGTTGTTTGGTGAGGTGGGCAGCCATACAAATAAAGATAAGATAAAGTAAAAAATAAATCAACCCTAAAGTCAACCCTAATGTAAGAGAGGACAAAGAATATTACAAAGAAAGTAGACACCACAGTTTAAATAGTAATAACAGTAGAAAAAGTTTGATTTTGCTGCTGTTGCCTAATCTATCCATCACCAAAATCACTGAAAAGCTGCCAGCTATTAACTTATGTTGTGTCCCTTTCACACAACCTAATACCCAAAGAATATGATAAGCATATCTACTGGGAGGTAGTCATCTGGGACATTTTAAGAGCAACAGTTACATCTAAGACAAATAAAGTGGACATTTCCATAATTCCTTCATAAGTCTTTGTTGCCTTAAAAAAATCTGCCTATAGTTGGGACATAGTTGCAAAGGCCCAAATATCACTGCAGAGGGTCAGTAAGCAAATTGAGAATGAGGTATGGCTTTTCCCCCCCAGAACCAATTCAACCCCGGGGGGGGGGGGAATTAACAAGCATGGAAAACTCAAGCGGGGATTCAGATTATTTCTGAAGAAGTAAATTAATATCCACTTAAGTATTCTCACTCGGCAGTCCTGGAATTGCCACTTGCTCTAAATCGGGTTACTAAGCCCTTGTCAATCAGCCCTAAATGAGCTCATTGCCATCTTAATATTTATGAGATCCAATTCCCACTCTACAATTTTAGATGAATCATGGCACCATGACAACACGGCACAATAGGGATGACCCGCACAGAAACGGAGATCAGGGTACAGTGCCACCTGGAGCATATGCGGGCGCAAAAGCCTTTGCCCCACAGAAACTGCCCCCCGACGGGGCGAAAGCCCCACAAGTGACACCCTCCCCTCAATCTCCGCCTCCCCCGTCACCAGAACCCCGCGGGGCCGAAAAAACACTCTCCTCTTTTTTTTTCGCCCAGCCAGACTGGCCGCCCTTCCAGCCAATAGGAAAGCGCACAGCCTCGCTGACGGCCGCTCCTTGTCCGGACGGGCGGCCGCGGGGAAGCGGCGAGGCGGGATTTCCTGAGCGGAGCGGGCCTGTCGGGGTGCGCGGAGGCGCGGGGGAAGGCGGGAACAGGGCCGTCGGGCTGGGTGCGGCGAGGAGGGGGGGTTGGCCTGGCCTGGGAAGATTCAGCCGCCGACATGCCTGGAATAGACAAGCTGCCTATCGAGGAGGCGCTGGAAGACAGTCCTCAGGTGAGGAAGGGGACCCCGCGCAGTAGCAGGGGGCGGAGGAGGGAGAGGATTGGCCGAGCCGGGCTCCTTCTGCCCCCTTTCCAGACCTGGGAAGGTAGCTCGCTTCGCCCCGCCGCGGTTCGGAGGCCGTAAACAGCCTGTTGCCGCCGTGATCGCTCCCCGGGAGAGGCGAGAAGGGCTCAAACCACCCGGCGAGGGGAGAAGATGCCTCTTTCCCGGGGGTCCCTCCGAGGGGGAGGTCAGGGCTCCGCTTTAAAGCCGGCAGGGCCGGTGCAGGTGTTGCCAGGTGTGAGGTGCGTGGCGTGATCTCGCGTGGAAAAGCTCAGGGGTTCCTTTGCAAAAAGGTTGCGGAGCAAGAGGAGGGAGCCGCGGCTGTTTTCTGCGGGGCTCGTGTGCGCGCGCGTGTTTGTTCGTGTGTGTGTGTGTGTGTGTTTGTAAAAGATAGCAGTTGTTTTCTACCGAAGTC